GCAGAGAAGAACAAATGCTTCAACACCTACACAAGCGCCCGTGCAAATATCCCGAGTTCAGACGGTGGGTGTTCCTTGAAACTATTCATTGTTCTCTTACCTACCGCACCCACTTTCAATTGAGCAAGTCAGTAGTGTTGTCCCATACATGAACACTCTTCCGAGCCCGAGTTGATGTTATCGAAGATAAACTAACAATACTGTTCATTGACAAGCACTAGAACAGAAAGATAAAGGGACAATGTTCACGACACAGTGATAAAAATTATCAAGATGTACAGCCGCACTTGAAAAACACTTTCTAGCTGTGGGAAACCACCCAATAGCTTGTTCACTCTCATCTCTGGAACTAAGTGTGAGAACTACAGAAAGGATGTGAAAGTTTGTATTTTTACGTATAATTTTTTTCTGCCCGTTAACTAACATTTGCTGAATCATAATTAGCACAGGGTTAGAATGCTTGGACGACTTGTCTGCAATCGCTAGCGCTTTTCCATTCTTTTCGACTTCTTCCGACCGTCATCCATTCAGGTGGTTGCTTCCATATGGAGATTTCACTAAAATTTGAGAACTTGTAACCTTCTTTCCCTTTGACATAATGAATGACAACTGAGCGTCAATTTCCTTCGAATTACCAACGCAGGCAATCGCCTACCATTCTACCTATCTAAAAAACCTACGCCTAACTATTTAAAAGAGCCGCCTTATAACTCGATGTTCTCAAGGATGGCATCATTTAGTTGCACTGTTTAATTTAGGTGGGCTCTCGGTTTAAAATACTAAACTCCTTCTCTAATTGAGTGAGCGCTTCTTGTTAATGAGTCCATGGCAGCATATTGACATCGTCAAAGCACTAACCCTCCCCTTACGATAAGGTCGTTTAGGCACACATGTGTGTACGCATCCGTGTTTCTTCGTTTAAATATATATGCATATATAGTATAAAAAGGATTAAAAATTTGCTTATTTTGGAGGAAATGTTCTCTATTTTAACCAACTACTTACTGCCTACTCTTTTTAATGACAGTGTATATTACGAAATATAACTTCAATGATGCTGAGATATTTGTAAAACTCAGGACGGTAGGTGTCTGCGATGAGGAACGAACGTGCTACTGTCCTTTCCGGGAGAGTAACGCGTTCACCACCACCACACTATGCGGGTCCTTCGTTTCGCCTGTCTCTCAGCTAGTTCTATCGATCTTTTGCCGTCAGCAATCACACGACAGCGGGATTGATCTGGGGAGCCCAAATCCGCAACGAACCCAGTTAAGCTGAGGCTGTATTTATAATCACAATTTAACCTTACTGCTTACTGCCTACTCTTTTTAATGACAGGGTATATTGCGAAATATAACTTCAATGTTGCTGAGATATTTGCAAAATTCCGGACCGCAGGTGCGAGGTATCAAAACAGGTGAAGAACGAACGCGCTATTGTCCTTTCCGAGGAGTAACGCGTTCACCGTTATACCATGCAGAGTTTTGAAATTGAAAATGCAGTCATTGAAATGTTCTCTATTCTGCACCGGTGCTCAAACCCGGGAGCACATGAGTTCGCTCCGTTCTTGCGTCGTATCAATGACGTCGCTGTTTCCGCATCGCCGCCTCTCATGTTCATCTCGACAATAACTTGCGTGTGTGTTGGCTGTCCTCACAAATGGCTCCGTACTTGTTCTTTTCGTTATAGGTTCATTGTGTTTGAAGTGTGTGGCATTCAATAGAAAAGTATATGTGAGTGCAAAAGATTAGTCGGAGGATCATTCTTGCTAGTCACGGTGCTGAGGTCAATATTCACGAAGGACGAAGCATAGACACAGGCTCCAGCAAGTAGCGGGCATTTTCTCCTTTCAAGAATACGAGCGACTATTGACATTGACTCGGATAATTAGCCTGGGAAGACTAAGGCGTCGAAACGTTATCCGAATGAACATTTGTAACAATCTCTTGTTATCTTATCAAAGAAACAAGAAATTTTCTCTATTGCTGTGATTCAGCGTGTTTGAAGAAGAATGATGGTATGCGACATTCGGTGGAAAAGTATATGTGAGTGTAAAAGATTAGTCGAAAGACCTTTTGTGCTAGCCACAGTACTGAGTACAATGTGCACGTAGGTGGGAACGTAGGCAGAGGCTAAAACGAATATTAAGACTAACACAACCGGTGCAACAATTAATTTTTGTGTCAGGTTAGAAACACCTCATACTTGAAGCTTAACAACTGTGTTTTAAAACTTCTGTTTGATCTTCCTTTTGGCCACCTGTTCAAAATGCTGTCAACAGTGTTCCTAAATCCTAGTATGCCACCCGAATCAAAGCTTCGAATTACGGACTCCCACACGGAACCGGAAATCCTTTTAAAGTCTGCCAGTGGTGTAACTAAAGTATATTCGGGTTTTTATCACCCCATTTTCACAGCACTCTCGCCGTAGTGCATAATATTTCGGCCTGAACAGAATAAGGGGATGTCATTCTTTCCTATAGTGATGCGACCTATAGTTGCGGGTTTAAAGGGGTAAATAGATGGGGTTTGAAATGTTGTTAATCGCTTCACAGCAACAACCATAGCTGATCGCAACCAAGTCTCGTTTGGCTTATGAAACTTATATCCTACACTGGTGTGAATGTCCACAATTTTATTGGGGCGTGGTGTGCAAATATCAAGGAATGTTGTTGTTCTCATGCTTCGAGCTCTATCGCACAAGACGATATTTCCCTAGTTTCTTTGCGAGATGCTACCGTAATTTTCCTGCAAGCGTCAAATCTATGAAAGAGTGGTGCATTCTCCCCAATTGTAGGAAGGCTAATTTCATTCACAAAGCTTGAATTAAGTACCATAAAGGAAAACATAAAGCAATCAATACCAATATTTTCTTGGGGATTTACTTGTTGAAGCAATTACTTGTACTTACTTATTTTTCCCCATTGGGAAGGGATACTGATTCAAGTCACTTCCAATTATTGATTGATTCAGTTTCTTTATCAGGTGTTCTCTTCTCGGTGTATAGCCTGTGACTGACTGGGCTAGCCTTGGACATGAACCTATTAGCAGCAACATTTCAAAAAGCGGCTTTCGTTTAACCTTGACATGACTAATCAGCGAGTACACGTTTTTCATTGATGAGCTAATAGGAGGTTGATAAAAAAAAAACATTATTTGGCTAACGCTTTGGCCCCTCTGTCTTCATTAGAACGAGATTTATTCGATTGTCCACTGTTGTTCCTTTTCCTAACGTGGGTCTATTTAATCCCATCGTGCCGAATCCAAGATCGTAGATGTTGAATAGTAATGCACAGAGTAAAGGAAATTTTATTTTCGAACTATTGTTACGCTACGTGCTAGTTGATAATGATATCGACTGCTGCAGGATGGATTTTCCGGAGGAAAACAGGCGGTTACCAACGGTCAACGAGGATCAATAACCATCCTTTGCAAAAGAGCACCACCGAGTGAGGTAACTCCATCTAGGAGGCGCCCCAGGTGGGCCCGACGTTCATTAACACCCATGCCGGAAGAGTGAACAAGTGTGGACAGTCGACTCGGAACAATCCGCCTCTTAAGGAAGTGAGTGCGCAAAACTTTAGCCAGATAAAGTTTTTCTATGCAGCTCGAGAGAGCTTTTGTCTTCGACTCGTTTTACTTAGTATAGCAATTGGTTCCTATTTTGCCATTCAGTATATCTTTTGAGGTAAGAGAAAACCCTCGTTCGTCGGTTGTAGTTATGGGAGAGCATGATATACGATGTCAGTCTTAATACTCAGCTGCATGAATCCTTCTATTGATATTCATTGTGATATGACGATGTAAAAAGGGAATAAGTTGTTCTTGTGAATTAATCTCGAGCGTTTCCGATGCCCCTTAAACATAAAACAATGAAGTTGTTTATAGCTGATTGCATACAGGATCAGGTTGTTTGAAAGTTGGGTGGTTATGATCACACATTGGGCGGTTCGTTGATGATAAGTGGCGTAATGAAGTAGAAGTATTTAACGATTTCCTCGATTAAGATGGTATCTTCGGAAAACTGCCCGATGAACACTCCTTAAGTTTTGCACACGTACATTTCAAAGTTTTCTCTTCTTTTGGTACTGTCAAATAAAAGCTGGCATATTTTATGACATACATCCAGTAATTGCTAAATTTTTTTCTAGCAGTTCCAATTTGGGGAGGGATAGTACAGTGGTAGTTATGCCGTTCATCAGGAGCACTGCTGGTTCGACCCTGCACCTGGCTCATCAAGTTCCTCATCCTTTCGAAGTCGGGAATTTGATACCGGACTGGTCCAAGAAAAAAAATCACTTTCAGCAATCAAAGTGGTCACGCTCCAGCCAGGATAACGGAAGAGTCCAAGGAGAATCGACTCGACTCGCATTTTACGACACTCATGAAGATGCTGAAGTCCTCAAGAAGCAGCCGAACCCACACATAAAAGAGTTAGGAGACCTTCATGGATGATGGATGCGAGGAAATGAATCGAATGCGAGTAATGCTGGGATCCGCACAGTAGACGTGAAGACGGATCGCACTTAAAAAAAAAAAAGTTTTGATGTCACCTATTCATTGTCGCAATCGTGGTTGACGTTCTTCTGCGAAAACTGAAGTAATCCAACCGAAACCTTTTCATCAGTGAAGCTGGTGGTGGGTATTTCTATTTTCTCATTTTTGAAACGCATCAGTACTGCAATAAGCTGCTCGCACACTTCGCGAGCAATCGTTAGATAGCAAATAGTCAAGTCGACACGATAAGTTAGGTACAAAGGACACTAGATTCGTAGACATTTGCAGAGAGTAAACTTGAAAAAGCTAAGCAAAAAAAAATGGTTTGAGGAACATAAAACAAGGAAAACGTAGATGCAGAGTTGTGAAACGAAACATCTGCTCGAAGAGAAACAGAACAGTTGTTTACTCTCCGGAGAACATCCTCAATATTTCACGTTCACATAAAGAAGGAAACAGTAGAAGAGATACAATTGAAAAGAAGCACACTTGAAACTTAAAAAACTATGCGAAGAACAATTTGGTACTGGTGTTGTCCACGGTCTTGTATACATTTTCATAAACGAGAAACACGACGGCATTGACGACGAACCCTCTCATGGACAAGGCCAAACCCCCTCGGTAGAATGAGCGAGCACCCGCTTCGTTCCACATTTCTCTTGCCATCTCTTTAGCACTCCTGAAATTTTCTCGGCAATTGAAAGTTGTAAAAAGGAGAACTTTGGGCAAACGGAAAAAATGACGTAAAATTTTGATCTGTTTCAAGAAAACTGTCTATCATGCGAATAAAAAATTATGGATTAAGTATATCTGTTGAGGTCATGAAAGTCTTCGGTTGACTCCGAAGAAGGAGAAACGGTCAAAACGTTAGCTAGTTAATGAATAAATGCTGCAATAACAATCTCGTGTTTTGCAAACGCAATGATGCTGAGATGTTTGCAAAACTCCGTTCCGCTAGCGTCTGCGGTGAGAAACGAACGCGCTGTTACCCTTTCCGGGGGCTAACGCTTTCACCACTACACCATGCAGACCTTTCGTTTCACTTAACTCTCAGCTGGTTCTATCGATCAGTGCCAACAGCAATCATCCGTCAACGGGTTTGATCTGTGTTTGGAAGAACGGTGAATTATTGATCAATGCCGAGGATAGAAGAAAATCGTCTCTGCGATTTGGTGCATGCAATACAACGGATCAACTCCGAGATCTTGTCAGCGGAATTCACCGCAATCACTACCAATGAACACCGTCTAACTTGCAAAACACTGCACTTATTTTAAATCCCAAGAGAGCACCAACATTTTTCTCGCCGTGTTTTCGGCCTGTATTCGAGTTTTGATGACCTCAAGAGGGCAAACGGAAAGCCATCCGCAAACACCAGCGCATCCTCCAGAGAATAACTGAAATATGAACAAAACAATACTTGAGGAAATAAAACCCTTGCTACTTTTCGAAATAAAAACGATCTCGATGCACAGGAAAAGCATAACAACCCTATCTTTTTGGAAATCCCAATTATGGCCCTCTCTGTGCATTCCCAATGGGTTAGCTTTACTATACTGACATGTTCCTGGCATTTGAGCAATATAAACTTAACAAACATGATAATGGAAAGGCAGGTATCAAGCCAAGGATGTTTCCAAAAGTTAACTTACCTGTGAAGTTGTTTCACTGATCTGTTTAGTTCGCATAAATCGTAATGTCAACTCGTATACTGGAATGTAGAAAATATAGCCAATAACATCGCGGAAGAATATCAGTTTTCCGCCCTAAATGTGGAAATTCTACTGAGTATTGTGTTGCCGTTGGTAAAGTGCATTCTCATTGGCAGAATTCAAAAAACCATCAAAATGAAGGGACGAACAAGCACATAGAAATGATATGTCCTACCTTAAAAAGGCCTCGAATTCCTTCTTTCTTGACGATTTGTCGCGCACATTCTATCGGCCCTGAATAAAGCACAGACGCATGCCTTGTGAAACGCGACACGCCCTCTCGTTGCACCTGGACATTAACCCATGTACTAAAGAGTTTGTTTCATTTTATACGGTTGGAAGTTATTAAGGAACACGAAATGCGACAATTTCCAACGCAGTAACCAACGATAAAAGTGAAATTATTTAAAATCTGAACTAGAAGGACAGTTATGAGTAAACTTATGCAAACAACTGCTAATGTGTACGCATTTCAAGAAGCCCATAGTTGCAAAGTTCTATTCGATATACAGAATCCGACAGCAATCCGTGTGATCACCTGCAGTCGATTTGGAACAGGTTACTCAACACTTCAGAAAAAATTTGCCCAAGGCAATAGTGTGCCATTAGAATGGACAATTTACTGGATCTGATCAATTTTTTCTGCGTGAACAATCTTTGTGAACGTAGTCATTCAAAGCACTCCAGTAAATATTTGTTCGCGTCGCGTATTGCATGCTATACAGTCAACCATAGAGTAGCCCAGCGTTCATAAACATATAAACCGTGCAAGTCGAGTAATGGCTAAGTGCCTGGGATCAGCAAAATCCCATCTTTCCTAAGTCGACGAATTCATTCCGAAGTTGTCTCAGAGGTTAAGAACATCGACTTGACATATCGATGGAGTTGTCACTATATAGGCTAAATATGCATTCATCTCTTTTACACTTGATGAAGTCAAATGCATGGCGCATCCCTCAGACATTGATCAACAGCGAAAGTCTAATCTTTTTATCCTTCTTCACCCCATCAAACATTACAGCCGCTCAGTGGTTTTCGCTTGCTCACTAAAACTGCACGAAGAGCACCACAGTTTTGGTATGATGAAATTTTTAAAACTGTTCTTAGTGGTAACGGACGTTACCCTGGGCGGCAATGTGACCGAAGTTCATTTCTAGCCGATATTTCGCATTGGGATGTCGAACCCATTTCTAGGTGAGCTCACTTGAATGAATCTCCCACAACTCCAGTGCATCTCACTTCAACTCTTCGGCACCCTCTTGCCAAGATAAATAGACGTTTGATGGCAGCTGTTTTTTCAAATGATATATCTATTTATTGACTTATTGTTTAATACACAGTTCTAACACAGCACAGATACCACAGTTGTAGCGAAGCCTCCCAATACCGGCAAAATCCTCGTGTGAGCACACACAGGGTTAACCAGTGCTGTCACCCTTTCTTAGTCAGTATATTGGTATCAGTCTTGTCTCGGAACAGGACAAAACAGTAGCACTGTTACCGGATGTTAAAATGCTGCATAAAGAAGATTATTCGTAAATAAGATCCCTGTGGAATGTGACGATGAACGGCTAAATAACTCCTATTACGACGTATAGAATAAAGTTATGATTTGTGAAGGTCATCTATCTACTTATTGGACACAGAACTAGTCTGGGTATACGAACAGAGAGCACAACATTCTAGACAGAAGTGCGGCACAGATATTGCGGACCATCGAAATCATCTCTATCTGGGATATTTTTATGTAGGATTCAGTTTACTAGTGTTGATCTTACACATAGCAATACTACGCATAGAGAGACAAGGAAAAAGATCCCCTAGAGTTACTCATAATATTTTCGGCGATCAATATCTGTAAAGGTTTTAGAAATTATGTAATTGGTTAGTTTCTCATGATTTTTAATTAACTTCATACTTTCAATGCTAGGGTTACATCTACTCACAATAAATAACATCGTGAGTACATCTGCCTTTTAGGCCTCACCATTAGAATACGGATAGGGTAATCGGGGTCATCCACTTCTTTCAGTTAAGAAAAAGCTTCGAGACCTGCGCCGCAATCCACGACAACAACATGCATAGTAGGCCGTCGTAAACATCACATGCGTTGAAACAATTTGACAACGGCTGGAATGGAATGGATCCCGCGTCCTAGTAATAGAACCACGATAAATCTATCGATCCGACAATTAATCTTTTTCCTCGAAGTGTTTTAGAGACTCATAAATTTTCTAATCTTTAGTCCGGAAGGAATAACATGCCGAGTTCCAACGCAACTATTGAAGAGCTGATAGAAGCCACAGAAGCCGCTTGGAATCTTCATATCCTTTTTTCCTGCTATGTATCATCCTTTTCACCTATGTTTATCTTGTTCTATCTTTCCATATTTTTTTCGTTTCCGCACATGGTTTGGAGTCTGTCATGGTTATCTCCATTCTATTCAGAACTTCAAAAATTCAAGCCAGTTTACCTGAAGACGTGTTTTGAGAAGCTCGATGGGTATAATCGGAATTACCTGGGCTATTGTTCCACACGTTGAAGCAAACAATATCTGTAACACACTATTATGTTTTAGATTGTTGCACACAAAATGCATGTGCAATAATGTCCCTAAGTTTTAGCAGAAAAATGGAATCAAACAACCAGAAGGTCGTCTCATTTCATGCATATCGTATTACTAAAGTGAAATTTTTATTTTAATTTCTATCTCCTATTTTAATCGGTTACAGAGACTGCCGAGGACTTTTGAGTATAGAAGTGCAACGTAGCGCCCAGAGTCAATGGATTCAGTCATTGATGGCGCAAACGTTCCACGTGAATTGATGTGAACTCGTTTTCTGTTCGGTGGTTTACTTTGCTGTATGAGGCTTTTATCCTTATTTATTTGACATCTCCTAAGCGCAAAGCGGCATACTAGGAGTTAGCAAATGAAACCCATTCCTTATCCTTAGTATCTTACAAAAGGCTCTCCTGGCAGGAGTACCACAGAACGTTTTTCACGAGAGGTGGACAGAGATCGCAGGAATATCATGAAGATAATACTAGAATGGTTGACTCCCTTCATGGATCCTGAGGTGACTAGTTTCTTCCTGTACTGATAGAGAAGTACAAAGTGTTGTTAATAACGATGGCACGATGAAACGATGGCAAGATCGGCCGAGATGAATCGGTACGAACTCACAACAACTGTGGCAAAAAAATGGACATCAGTCAGAAAAGAATTAGGCCTCAAGCTGAAGGTGTTAAAAAAGCACCCAGAGAGGAAACCTTCCTGTGAATTTTACTTGATACTCGATACTTGAACGGCCCATCCTCACTAGCTGTGCGGGCTCCAGCATAATCACCATTTTCCGGAGATTTGCTGGTCAAGCCATTGTGGTTCCCTGGAATCCCGAGGACAGCCTGGCCAAAGTCTGCTCCAGGTCGTCACCACAACAGGCAGTCGCAGGCCTAGTGGATTACAGGGAGATTTGCCACCATACGACTTTGATACCAGGACGGTGGTGGATCCTGGTATTGGTTTACTCTTAGCTAGGCTTCCTGATGGAAACACTGGACTCCTTCTCAGTTTAGGAGACTCTGCCGTAGGGACGAATCCCCCACTGTACATCGCAGTCCTACACCCAGGAACACCTCTCAGCCACGATGTTGGAAGCTCTTGTGTATTTTAAAGTAAGGGAAAGCTATGCAGGTATCCACAGATGAAGTTAACAATCAATCGGTGTTAATTTGCAACTTTTTTCGAACTTGTAAGACGCTATAGTCGACACTTTCTTTAATAATCCAGTGTTTCTGTAAAGACTACAAAATTTATGAAGAATTCTTCTGACGAACGGATTACATAGCAACACCTATAATATTAAAACAATGGTACAAATGGGGAATGTGACACGATAATGAGAACTCTGATCATTTATTTCTTAACCATTTCAGAACTTTGTAAAGTAAACCTCAGAAATGGGCAAATCCTTCCTCGCCTCTAAATGCGATTCTCCTGGGTGCAACAACCGTAGAGCAACGCCATATCCAGTGAAAAGCAGAGAATGAACAACACCTGCTGACAGCAGTGGCGCCGATACACCTTTGTACAAGCCGTAGATCTGATTTGTAAAAAACTAAAAGGCAACGGAGAATTTGGCAAAGTACGATGTTAACTTGATACTTAATACTTGAGCGGGCCGTCCTCAATGGCTGTGTGGGACCCAGCATAATCACCATTATTCAGAGATTTGGTGGTTAAGCCATTGTGGTTTCTTGGAACCTCGAAGTCAGCCTGGTTAAAGTCTGCCCCAGGCCTTCACCACGACAGGCAGTTGTGGATCAGAGGGAGATTTGCCACCATGCTACTAGTTTGATACCAGGACGGTGGTGGATCCTGCTATTAGTTTACTCTTAGCAAGACTTCGTTATGGAAACACCGGACTCCTTCTCAGTTTCGGGGACCCTGCCGTGGGATGAATCGCTTCGCTGTACATCGCAGCCAGACAAAAAGGAATTGCTCCCAGCCACGATGAGGCGGTAAACCGCTGGGAGGTATTACATAATGAGTAGTCAAAAATGAGTGACTAACGAAACGTAAGAAATTCAAAGGCGCGTTTTGCGAAATTGCTAAACGTTCCCTGCAATGAATACGTGGTCATTGGTTTATCTCGTGCTCATGCTAACTACGATTCCTACCAACTCCGAGTTGGCTAGGAGGTGCCATACCTTTTTGAGAGGATAAAAAACTGACTTAATAAATTGGCATAAACTCGTAGGTTCTTGCCTTAACCACCTATGAAATCAATCACATCTGCTCGATAAACTCAAATGCATGTCTCAAGGCTTCATCAATGGCAAATGCTTCAAGCCTTCAAGCAATTTCGATACTAACATGATATGAGGATCAGATTGCGGTGATGGTTCTGGACCATCTACTGTAGCCATCAAGAACTCAAGATGCTCAATGTGCCTTGCGCTCAATCCCAACAGCTATGATGACGGACGAGAACGGATTCCGAGCTTTGCGTAAATGCACATGGATTAAAGTGTGAGGAGGCGAAAGATTTTTCGCCAAGAGCGGCAACATTGCCGACTTCTTGTGAAATTCAAAAGCAACTCGTGCGGTGTGGCTACTAATGCTGGTACATCGCTCCAAGCCTTGTGTTTCAAATCAATTTAGTAAAAGTCTACATCACAAACCACTTGACAACTGAGTGAAATCAAAAATGTTTGGTGAGAATTGAGTTTCTTACCTACCGACTCTTGTCTAACCGTTTGCACAAAGCAGTCCACTATTCCCTTATAAGCAACTATCGTCTGCAGCCTCGTCTTCACTGTATCCAGCGGGTATCCGACAAGTAGGCCAGCGCCACCTTAACCTCTTCAATACTCTAGTAGAAAGCATATACTTAGAAGTTGTTTGCATAAAGCAATTAAATAATCTGAAAGATAGCAATGCCATTCCATAGCGCATTAAAATGCAGGAAAAAAGTCTTGTTTTTCAGTTTACACTTTTCCAATGAGTTAACAAACATATCGAAATGTACAGAAAACGTTTGAACAAGGTAGTTAACATCGATAAATTTTAGGTGAAGTCTGCAAATAGCGTCCCTGGACTCTATAAGGTGAAAACAAGCACGTTTAGTAATTTTTGCAAGCAAAAATACTGAGAATACGTACCAGCTGCCCAGCCAGCTATGAAGTCCGCGTACATGTGATATTTATCTGAAATCGTAAAGAGTCTATTGTCAGACAAAAATTTTCAGACCACAGAATTAAATGTATCCAATAAGAATTAAATCAATAGACTGTCATGTAGCGCCATTTTTATCCCTATCTGAAAAACTGGCACTTGTCTCAGCCTGCAGGAAATCTCAACAATACAACATAATTTCGTCGCCGTGTTGGAAAGGATTGGATATGTAGACTATGAACACTGAATGAAAGGTATTCACTCGAATTTCAACAGACCTTCGATGACGAAGCGTAATTACTCGAAAATAACCACAGTAATGCTGAGATGTTCGCAGAACTCCGGACAGCAGGTGTCAGCGGTGGGAAACAAACGAGCCATTACCTTTCCTGGGAACTAACATGCTCACCACCATACCATGTGAGCCTTTCGTTTCGCCTTTGTCTCAGCTAGCTTCGTACTTTACGGAGTCGTCGGTAAATACCCGTTAACGGGACTGATTAGATTAACTAGGCTCCATGCCCATTTGTGCTCCCCAGCTCAATCCTGTCGACGGGTGATTGATTGTTGATGGCGCCATTAGGTGGTAAACCTACTTGATACTTGATACTTGAACGGTCCGTCCTCACTAGTTGTGCAGGCTCCAGCATAATCACCATTTTTCAGAGATTTGTTCGCTAAGGCATTATGGTTCCCTGGAATCCCGAGGACAACCTAGCCAAAGTCTGCCCCAGGCCTTGACCACCACAGGTAGTCGCAGCCCTTGTGGATCAGAGGGAGATTTGTCACCATGCAACATTGATACCAGGACGCTGGCGGATTCTGGTAATGGTTTACTCTTAGCTAGGATCTCTGATGGAAACGCCAGACTCCTTCTCAGTTTAGGAGACTCTGCCGTGAGGACGGATCCCCCACTGTACATCGCAGTCCTACACCCAGGAACACCTCCCAGCCACGATGAGGCAGTAAACCGTTGGGAGGAGGTAGGGAACTAGCTAAGAGAAAGGCGAAACGAAGGCTCCGCATAGTGTGGTGGTGAATGCGTTTGTGATACACAAAGAGGGCGAATGTGAGAAACATGTTTCGAACAGCCACCTCTGTGTGCACTACCAGGGAACTAAAGGAAAAATCGCGCGACTTGGCTCAGCAAATAGCCATCTCCAATGACTACGAAATAGTAACCCCACGAGATAAGTTTAGAAGGAGAGCGGCGCGCCCACGCGAAACACCTGGCCAAAAGAAAGTCCCGTTCGTGTTGCCTTTTACAAGCGATGAAGTAAGCGCAGCTATAAAACGATGCTTAAGAAGGGCAAGTCTAGAGGAGTCGGTAGCGATAGTTGAAATACAACTGGCTACTGTACGTCGCCAATTAGTTCGCAACCGCCTGTATGACCGTCTGTGCGAAAGAACAAATTGCGTAATTTGCCCTTACGGCAGGGACGGTGAATGCATGAGTTCAGGTACGATATACCTGATCTCTTGTAATAATTGCGAAGATGAATATATTGGCGAAACGGGCAGACCTTTGTGTATCCGTATAAAAGAACACCTAGATGGCAAACGAAAACTAAAACGAAGCACCCCACTAGGCACGTATAGGATACAAAAGCATAGCGGAGGCGATTTTGAAGTAAAAGTCAATATCCTTGCACAGGAGTCCAACACACCAGCGCGAAAACTCCTTGAGGCTTTTTGGATCAATGCCAAAAACCCTACAATGAATAGCAGGGATGAATGCCCGGAGGTCATACGCGACCTGATCCCGTACGTTCGCATCAATTTTTGATGTGGGATGGTGCAGTCGTCAACCATATGCGACTATAATCAGCTGTTCTAAACTTCCTCATTGGAAGTCATGAAAAAGCGGTGGGTTTTTCGAGAAGCTGTTGACCATGTAATTACCAAGGAGTTTTTCGTCTTTTTGTAAGTGTTATTGAAGCGTTTGGCCTAATAGATTGTATATCAGTATGCCCTTCCAGGCTCTGAAGAAGGCGATACTGCCGAAACATCAGCCAGTGTTGTATTGTATTGTGTTTTCTATGGAAGTAAATGTATGCTGTTTAAAAACCTCGCGATTGCTGAACAAGAAAATAACGCATTCATATCTCAGCATCGTTATGGTTATATTTCACTTAATGCCCCGTCGTGAAAAATTGTAGTAGGCAGTAAATAAAACGTTGACATTCAAAAATAAATAACAAACAAATAATAAACGATAACGAAATAGTAATCTGATCGCAAATAAAAGTCTGCGGCATTGCCTTTGTCATTATCTTATCACCTGCTATCCCGTAATACAAGCACTGATAAGCAACCACCAAGTGCTCTCATCTACAAATGTACATCTTAAAAATACTGGCTAATTTGCTCGCGCCTAGGGTGGCAATCAGTATATTAAGAGATGGTCCGGGAAGTACTACACTCAAATAAGAGGGTTAGCAACGGGACAACGACTGGCACCAAGTCTTGCCATTGTGTTTATGTCTAAGGTGAACCACCGGTGGCCGATCTCGGGCTGCTACTCTACTGTAGATATATAAATGACTGTTCTGTCCTTTGCTCAACACAAGAGGAAATGGACAAATGTTTCGAGTTGTTGAATGAACAGTCAGAGTATATCAAGTTCACCCCAGAGAAACCGAAAGAAAAATGGATTCCATTCCTGAACGTTCAAATTAACCTGTTAGAAAATGGCTACATTAAGAAGTGGTACCGGAAGCCAAATAGTAAAAACATCTTGGTTCATCACCTTTCCTCTCACCCCTCTCACACGAAAAGGGCGCTTGTAAGAAACATGTTTTGAGCAGCAGTCAACGCGTGCACGGAAACAGCAGAGCAAGGAGTCCCAGAACTTGGGGCGACAAATAGCCATTTCTAATAACTACGAAACTGTAGCTGTGGATAAGTGTAGAGGAAATCCTAGGTCCCCCCACGACAACTTTAGCGATAGAAAGGTCCCGCTTATCCTACCGTTCATCTCAAATAATGTAAGTGCAGCTACAAAACGCTGCTTAAGAAGGGCAGGTCCAGAGAATTCGGTAAACGTTGTTGAAATGCCACCAAGTAATCCTAGGCGCCAGCTAGTTTGTAACCGCCTATATGACCGTCTATATGCAACGCAAAATTGCATAATTTGCCCCAATGGTAAAGACGGTGATTGCATGAGCTCGGGTATAGTTTATCTGATCTCCTGTAAGGCGTGCGGAGACAAATACATTGGCGAAACGGGCAGACCCCTCTGTGTACGCATAAAAAGCACCTAACCGGCAAACATCTACCAAATACCCCACTAGGCAGGCATAGGACCCGGAGACATAACGGGGAAGACTTTGAAGCAGGTGTCACAATTTTCGCACAAGAATCGAGAACGCAAGCGCGCAAGACTCTCTAGGCGTTCTGGATTAATTCCAGAAAACCGAAAATGAACCGCAGGGAAGAATGCCTCATTATCACGCGTGATATTGCGCAGCACATAAGCCTGTTATGCTGATGGGAGGGGCACGTTACGTTTCCCTTCGAATTCTGTGCGGTTGATCTTCACGCGACATACTCAGTGGAGGCCTCATAGAAAGCGGTGAGTGTGCAAAGCTATGTTTAATGTGGTTGAAATCTTGGTTTAGCGTTTTCTTTGTTTGGTTATGAAGGTGCTTGGCCGAATAGATTGCTGCCAACTTTCCAGGCTCTGAGGAAGGCGAAATCCGCCGAAACAGCTTATTCGTGAATAAAGAATAAAAATAACACCTCGCTCTTGCTCAACAAAAATACGAAAAATATCTTAAGAACTGTATTTCATTAGACCTTGGTAACAAAAATGAATAATTTTTCCTATGATTAGGCAAAGTAGTTCCGAGGATCGACTTTCTATTAACCTCGCCATTGGAATATGAATGCGTCGTTTTCTTGTTCAGCAATCGCGAGGTTTTTAAACAGCATACATTTACTTCAATAGAGAAACACAAGACAATAGAACACTGGCTGACGTTTCGGCAGTATCGCCTTCTTCAGAGCCTGGAAGGGCTTGCTGATATACAATCTACTAGGCCAAACGCTTCAATAACACTTACAAAAAGACGAAAACTCTCCGGTAATTACATGATCAACAACTTTTCGAAAAACCCACCGCTTTTTCGTGATTTCCAATGAGGAAGTTTAGAACAGCTGATTATAGTCTCATGTGGTTGACGACTGCACCATCCCACATCAAAAATCGATAGAGGGGTCATACGCGACCTGACCCCGTAGCTGTTGATCATGTAATTACCATAGAGTTTTTCGTCTTTTTGTAAGTTTTATTGAAGCGTTTGGCCTAGTAGATTGTATATCAGCATACCCTTCCAGGCTCTGAAGAAGGCGATACTGCCGGAACGTCAGCCAGTGTTCTATTGTCTTGTGTTTCTCTATTGAAGTAAATGTATGCTGTTTAAAAACCTCGCGATTGCTGAACGAGAAAACGACGCATTCATATTAGGCAAAATGTTTAGCACCTATTGCTACAGTACGTATACTCTACCAAAGTAAATCATACTCGAGGCGGAAATCGACCAACACCTGTCCGTGTGACAGGTCATTGCCGACTGAAGTTCTCCATACTGAGCCATTATCCCTCCATTAGATACAACACAATGCGACAATGAGCAACTACATGGCGAAGTTGACCACCTATGGATCATCAACTCGGATCAATCCGGCTCTGAAGAAGACGGAGACGTCGACGCATTAATCGAATAAGACTTTATACCGTCCTCGTGTTAGCTCAGTTATACAGAAACTGACTGGTTCATATACACGCATGCATACATACAGACATATATACATGTATACACACATTCATATATACATATATATATATGTATAAATATAACACGAATGTGGTGAAGATTTTGGAACGCTTTAGAAGAACCATCCGCAATTCCATGGAGAATCACCTTTGACCAGCTTTCTAGGATGTCTTCAGCGGTCGTGCGGACCCCAGCATATTTCCCACTTTTTCGCACTTTTGTAAGTTGAGCCACTGTGGCCTC